TTGTTTCCCTTAAGCTTGCTCCTGGGCCAGACAAAATTTATACTCGGGGCCCCGCATTCTTGTTCGCTTTTCTCTCTCTTGCCAAAAACGTTTTTTTTGGAATCAATTGATTGAAGTGCTCCAAATGCACCATGTGCCCGGTCGTTGAAATCACTCCGCAGCAGGACTTTACATAAGCAGCACATTCTTTTTGCAAAAGCTGTGGCAAATAAGTGATGGTATTTTGCGCCAGAAGGGTTGCAAATTGTAACAGTAGTCCTTTTGCAGCAATTTAATCTGTTACCTGCTCTTTCCAATCTTTTCTTCACACTGCATTTTCTAGGACCTAATATCAGTGTACTGACATTGAGAACACCCTTTAACTTCTGCAGCAGATCTCGGTTTGCCATGGTGAGCTTCCTGTTCCAGACAATGGCTTCTGAAGATGTCGTGCAACATTGAGAAAGTGATGTGGGGACATATTTGAGTGGTGCACCACCCTTGCTGCATGCTACATTACCAGGAGGATCCTTGAGATTGCACTGCAATGTGCAAATGTGCAAATGTGCAAATTTTCTTTTTCCTCAAACAGTACCTTAGCAAGCCAAATATCCTCTCAGATACCATAAGCAGGAACATAGCTTGCCAAATATCCACTTAGATACCGAAATAACAAGACCATTACACAGCTGTGTAATTTGATTTGCATGGCGTCAGAAGTAACAAGAGCGCGCAGATGTTGGAGACGTGGGTTTCAGGGCTACACCGACGCCAGCAGTCCTCCAGTCCTCCCCTCCCTGTCCAGCAATGCCCTGTGCTGGTTACCCACCATGTGGTACTGATGTCCCAACTCTCTGGGAGCTGAAGTGCCTGGTAAGCGCTTAGAGTAACTCGGGCTCAACATGCCGCCTTGCCCAGCTCTGATCCGAGTTTGGCGCTGTCTAGATGAGGCAGAGCTCCACCTGTGTGTGTCCTGAGGGGAATGGAATGAGAGCCAGGGAATGTCGGGACCAGGGAATTGGTAGGGTGTGGATCACTACAGTCAATCCCAGACACTTGATGTCACTGAACTGTGCAACGCAACAAAACCTGGGGATAAGAGGAAGACTGAGATCATACCATGATTTATCTCGGAATATCCTTGTTTAAAAATGGGTTTAGACTGAAAAGCACTATAAATAGTTACGAGGCTTTTATTTTTCTTATTTTGATCCATTTTAAAAAAATTTAACCACATCCTGGAATCTTTTCTTTGCTATTAAAGACAAGCGACCCTTTAAACAAAATCTTGATCAGAAAAATGTTTCACAGTTTACCTTTATATCAAACAGCGTTAAGCCTGATTTAGACATTGCTGGACAGTACTAACTGGCTCAGTTATTGTAGCTAAGAATTGTAGTTGACCCTTTGCTCAGATCTGCTTAAGCCGCCATTACACATTTCAATTTAGACCTTCGTAAAAGTTTTTTTTTCCCTCCGAATGCTGTTTTAAGTTCAACAGGAAACAGCTAAACAAATGTTTAGTTGGATAAACAGAAGGCATACTCTAAACTTGCGTTTAACTATTCATGGATACCACCCTTCTTCACATTACTTCAAAGCGAAAAAAAAAAGAGAAACATTCCTGCTGTAAAAAACATTGAAAAGCATGTCAAATCTTAAAAGCCAGGGGTTTTACTCCAAAGCAGGGGAAGCAATGTCTCAGATCACTCATGCACATAAGACTGACCAAAAAATGCCCTTAAAATGAAACCGGTATTACTATTGGACGTATTCTTTGAGAAAAAAAAACTTTTGCGTGCTTTCACGCCTGACTGGATGCGAGTACTGGGTTGGCAGAGAGGTGCTGGAAAGATAGCTAGTGCGAAAATGACAGAGTTTCCCCCAGGCTGAGCACCGAGGATAGTGAGAGAGGAGGGGAGGAAGCAGTGGCGATGACGAGGGTTAATTTCCCAGAAACAGCTGAGCCGCACTAATGAGACACCGCCTTCTGACTCATGGGCACATGAGAAGGATTAAGCCTCTTCCACTGATGAGCTCGGGCCCCAGTTCGGCTGGGAGGACTGGGAACCACATGATCTCACACCTCCTTGCTTCGCAGCCACTTATCACTTCCACAAAAGGCACAGGATGGCCAAGTTAGACAGCATTATTTGGCCAGACTGCTCTGTGGGGGGGCAGGAAAACAAATTCCTCCCGAGTCGCAGCACCCGTCGTGCTTGGTGGGCAGCTGGAAAACGGAAAAGACCGGAGGTGTCGGAAAAGGAAAAGGCGCGGGATCTCTCGGCGGTGGAGGAGCATGAGCTGCACAGCGAGTCTTCTGGGGCAAGGACCCCAGCTTCAGCTCTGTCCGAGGAGAAGCAGACATTGCTGTGTGCGTCATTTGACGAGTGTGGAGAGAGGTGGCAAAGTCAGCGCAGCACTTGACTCCCGTTGCGGGAACGAGGAGCAGGGGGTGGAGGGGGCTAGGAGGGGTGCTGGAATAATTTACGCGGAACAGGGCAGGTTAAAGGGTGAGAGGGGGGAGAAGCGATGATGGCGGGGGTGGGGTCTGGGTGAAACGGAAACAGTCAGGAATGTTGATCACAAGGGGTGATAGATAGCGAGATGGAAGCTAGTTTTTTGTCTCTTCTGCGGTCTCAGTGTCCCCTCCCCGTGGAGATGTTCCCAAACACACGGGCTCTGTGCTGTGAGCTTGCGACTGGGCAGGAATTCCCTAATTGTCCCTCTCTGGGGATGATCCCTGCGGCTCCTGTGATTTAGAAGCCTTGTAGTCCCCGGGACCTCGGATTACGAATGAATGGAAAAAGAAAACCATTCCTGACGCGCTTCCTGCCCAGGGTGTGACAGCAAACCGCTGTGACCACAGAAGAGGTGGGGGGAGTCATGGGGTTATTTGACCCGAGACGTTTCCAGATCTCTGCCTCCCTTCTTAATTAGCCACAAAACACCACCTTCCACTGTTTTGTCTTCAAACTCGGGATTAATTTCTAGGATGTCAGAGTAGAACCTGTGGCATTCTCATCGCAATCAGCACTGTTAAAACAACATTTAATCAACACTATTTTCCTAAACGTTATCCGATTTTGCTTTTATTCAGGGTTAAAGACAGGGCTCATTAAAAGTGTTATTTGTGTGAAAGCATTATCACGCCACAACAAACGAGGCAGGCGAGATTATACATCTGTGATAAATTTATTCACTTCACTATACTGTATCCTGCTTTGTGAACTGATGACCCAGATCCTTCTATACTCTCCTTTAAAAAAAATGTGAGACAAATGTCTGCAGATGCACATACAGTACCCTTCTTAAGAGACACCACATAAAACAATAACTCACTGTGGCAGCTTAATACGGTAAAGGCTTTAATTGTGCTGGTTTGGGAAAATCCGCATTCCTTCATATGGGTTTCCTGTGTGATTAGTTTCATAAAAATTCTAGCTTTTCATGTTTTGTCGTGATGACTCTTGGTGCTGTATCAAGTGTTGAAAGATCCACTTTCTGCATAGACCGCATACGTTTTGCACACCTTGGGTACTCGGGTTCTTTGTGAATTTGGAGATTGTTGCAACCATTGCAATAATATGCCTCCATATTAAAATCTGGTACAAATATGCAACCGAAAAGCCTGTTGAGTCTCAGCTATAATGAAGGGGAGGCAGGACTGACTCCAGCCTGCCTGGACTAGACTGGACCATCTGTTTTTTTAGGGTCCTAGGAGAGAATGAAGCATTAACGTTTTAGCTCTGTGCAATTTATTTAGTACCACCTTTCGGTATCCAAAATTTGCAGGTGGCAAGCAAGGGGAAGTAAGAAGTTTCTGAGAAAGTTAAGATAAAAGGGGGGATTATCTAAGGTCTTCTGGAGTCTTAAACTGGTTTCTATCCAGGATTCAAAAGGTCAATTTAACCTCCCTACTGGAAGACAATGCCCCAGTCTGGGCTAGACTAAAACAGGGAGTGACCCCGTGTCTCTAGCACCGACATTCAAAATCCCAACCAGGTTTGACCGTGGTTGACCTTGGTCCATAAAAGACCATAACTTTACTGAACGCAATGCGTTTGGAGAACAGAAAGGTGGAGGGCATTCAGTTTTGGAGTATTCAGCCCATGTCAATGTCAATTCAATTTATTTATATATAGCGCCTTTCACAACAAGGTTTCCCCAAGGTGTTTAACAAAGCAAGTGACCATATAGTACATGTGAATATAGAAAAGAAAAGACCAAAAGACAACGGAGGAGAAGAACCAAAAACTCCTTAGTAAAGAGAAAAAAACCCTCTAGGGGTCCAAGTTCAACTGGCTGCCCAACCCCTTTGGGCATGCTAACATTATACAATTAAAAAAAAAATGAATGAGGGTATTAATCCATCCATTGTGTCTTCTGTATGTCAGTACTCTCTGTAGACCAGCAAAATCCTCCTAAATGATCCACAATGTCCCTCCTGGATCCATGGCAGTGATGCAGCATCTAACTCAGATGGTGCTCAGCCCGGGTACCATCCGGACATGTGGGGAGGAGAATAGGATAGTTTGGTCAGAACAGATGTTTCTACCTGGTGGGCCAACACAGAGACACACAATGGCATGTACAGCAACACCAGCAGCATGGTTGCAGCAGGCAATGATGTAAGGTGTGAGCAGGCTAGGCTGAAGTAATAAGTCTTCAGTCTGGATTTAAATACTGAGATTTAATCAGCATCCTGAATATGGGGTGGGAGACTGTTCCATTAGCTAGGGTGTCCTTCCTGTAACCTATCCTAGATCTATCCTGGGTTGGCACCAAGCCAGCCGACTTATTCCTGGAAAAACATATATATCCGTCCGTGTACAACAGCGTCTTGTTAAATCAATACACTTGCTATGTTGTTTGCTGAACAAAAGCACCAGAACATGGTATCTGGGAGTCTCTTCACTTTCAGGAATTGCATGATCATTTCCTCTAATGCCACGCCCACACGGAGACACTGCCGGCCTGCCGCCCCTGCCCCTGCCCTGACTCTCTGTCCCTCTCCACAGCAGGCCTATGTGTCCTCCAGCCAGCAGATGCCGCCTCCCAGCCCCAACACCAACAGCAGCAGTAACAGCAGCAGCGGGGGAGGGGAGCAGCTGAGCAAAACCAACCTGTACATCCGGGGACTGCACCCGGGCACCACGGACCAGGACCTGGTCAAGCTGTGCCAGCCGTGAGTATCCCTCCCCGCACTCCACCCTTCCTGCTCGGCCGGCACTGGGTGCCTCTCCGCAGCGGCTTCTCTCTGACGAGGGGATGCCCACTGTAGGGCACACCGCCCCCCCTTCACTGGCCGTCGCTGAGCCAGGATTAGGATTCATCTCCTTGCGCTGCTTTCCATGGGTTTCTCGCGGGAAGACCGGCGCACCTGCGTTGTCTTCACTCACACTCATGTCGCCCCGGTGAACACAGGGGTGGGGGGTTTCTCTACTCGCCCGTCTTCAGGAGCGGGCGGGGGTGGGAGAAAAAAAGCAACTGCCAGCGAAAGCGGACAGGAGGGAGAGGGTTTCTAGTTTGAGAGCAGGACAGGGTTACTTCTACGCATGTCCTGACATGACCCCGCCACCGAGGGCTGAGAAATATGCAGCTGCTTTTTAGGGGGGGAAACTCGGCACTTGTGTTTGTGTTCCTCTGGTTCGACTTTGCTCCCCCCCCCCCCCCCCACCTCCTCTCTGTGAGATTTTAATCGGAGGCTGAACATTTAACCAACCTTCAGGCTGAGCGAATTTTCCTCCGAATTTCTACCGTCCAAAGAAGCACGACAGCTCCAGGTGCAGCGCGTAACAGGCACGTTTTCAAGGCTGCCGCTCGTCCTATTTTCCACTCGCATCCTTTTTCTTCCCCCAACCCCCCCCCCCCGCACAGGAATTGAGGTTTCTGGGCTGGAAAATCTTTGACCGTGGCTGGCCTTTCAAGTGCAGCCCTTTCTGCTGCAACCCCTAGTCTTGTCCAATTTCCCATGGTGAAAGGATCTCCTTTTTTTACGAAATGGATCAGTGGACATGAATTTAAAAAATAGCATCTTTATTATTTTGCTCCACAAAAAAATAAAAGCAGGGAGCATGGGACAGTGTCATCTCTAATAGGGGAGCCCCGGGACGATCTGTGCTGTCCTTAGACACTGCTGTTCTTCGTAAGATGCTATTAGTAATTGTAACAATTTATAAAATAAGGCTCGTCTTTGCCAGCTTAAGACATGCAGTTGCACAATTTGTGCTCAACAGGAAAATAGCATTTATTTCCATAGGAATTTATGTCATTTATAAGGGGGGAAAATGTACCTCACGCCACTGTGCACGACTCAATAGTAAACAACTGGAGAGGAAAACCTGGACTTCTCATTGAACAAAAAAAACATTTAAAATGCAGCTCGCTATTACAGCTTGCTTAGACCACAAGTCCTGCCCACTGTGACTACATTCTGTGCTCTTGAATAAGATGAAATGGAAAAGGGCTGAGTCACAAGTATCTCTGACAGTGGAAAAAGCTGAGCACTGAATGTGGCCGACAGACATGAGTGAGCTCAACGCCACACACGGTCACAGTTGCAGCAAGAGGCAGGTTAGTCTAAAGGCGACTTGTGCAAACAGAATTTGTGAGAAATGTAGAAGTACAACTTCAGCATTTTATTTTACCAATTACTCATTAATTTAGCTGACACTTTTAACCAAAAAGACTTACATTTGCACCTGTTTACACAGTCGCCGTATTCTAATGCAACAATTCAAGTTAAGTTCTTTGCTCAACAGAAGGTACACTAGCAGTGTCTCACCTGGGACTCCAACTCACAGCCCATCCACAAGTTACAAGTGCAGAACCCTGACTCCTGCTTTAGTTTTCTAAATTTCTAAAACACTCCCGTAATTTACTTGCTAACAGTTGCCAAAGGTTCTATGAACTAAGTCAGTTAGCATCACAGAGACGGCTAAAATGAAGCAGAAGATGACAAGAGCCAGACAGGGGAAGGCAGTGCTGTATGCATGTTCATACATATTCAATTCAGTGGGAGTATTTGGACACAATTTCATGTTGTGACTCCTGATCCTAAAAGGGTATTTATGTTCTGCCCAAAGCTGTGCAAGGCTCAGACATCAGACTGATGAAGACAATGGATAAAGTTTTTGGTTATGCCAACCTTTCTGGCAAACACTGGATAATTCAGGGGGCTTTTTTTCCTCTCAAAAACAAACCAAAAAAAAAAGCATCTCGGCGGGCTCGATTGAGAGGGAAGCAATCTTAAAAGTGAGAACAGGAAGTCCTTCTTCACACCAAAGGAGACGGGAGACTGAAATGAGCTGCCCAATCACATTGCAGAAGCCGGTACCCTGGTTTCCTACAGGTGATCCTCGGGTCCATCAGTTAGCCGAATCTGGATGAGCATGTCCACTCTTCTTGTTCTCAGTAACCCGTGGCTGAGGAAGGTTGCTCAGGGGGTCGTCGCAGTTACATTATAGCACACCAGGACCCCGGGGCTTGAACTCTGGCGCACAGTACCTTTAAGGTGCCCTGAGCAGAACTGTGTGGAAACATCAACAGGGCAGGGCAGCTCACCGCCGAGCCCAGACTTTCCAAAAAGAGCTTGGTACTTTTTTATTCCACGGTTAAGAAGACGGTAAAACAACAATTCCCAGGCTTGTTCTTTTATCTTTCTTTTCACTCCTGCTTTTTAGCCCATTTTCCCTGTCACTGTACTCTCCTCATCTTTCTTTCCCTTTCTACGCACAGACTGCTTTCCTGTTAGTTTCTGTTTTGCTCCCGTGACGGTTTGACACTTTGAAATGGTAATTTCACGCAGACGTCTAGTTAGGAAAGGAGCCTCTGACACCCGCTGTGTTTTCCTTGCTGGTGCCAGAGATGGTTACGCTCTCCTGTCTGGAAAATAGGGAAATTTGCCCTTTGCCTGTTTCCACAGACACTGTTTGAGCAAGATTCCTTCCTCGCTAGTTACACAATCTCCCAGACTGGGCTGCTCTCGGATCATGTTCACTATTGCACCTCTGCAACAGAACCACACAGTAGCCATAGCCATTTAAAATAAATCGCTTTTTCATATTCCAATTTTTTAACATCAGGCTTATTGACTGGGACAAGTCTGGCAGAATCAAAAACTCAATTTTCTTGAGCGTCAGCTTAAAAACACAGTCACGTTCCTTTACCTCGTCCTGAAAAGCCAGTGGACAGCTTTCACTGTAGCGCACATAAACCAGCACGCGTATCAAGAGCATTGAAAGGCAGGTGATTCGCCATCTTCCTAGAACGCACACCTTGTGGTCCTCATACAGGCCTTGTTAATAATGTTTATTATAGTGTATTCTATGCAGCACTGTTGTGAGGACAAACAGAGCTTGCTGCAACATCCACTTCTCAGTCGTACTTAGTCACTTTCAACAGCACCCCTGAAAAAAAATCTAGTCTTTGAATGTCTTAGTCTGTGTTCATTTTTAATTATTTTAAATCATGTTAAATGAAAAGTAAAGAGCTATGGGGGAATCTGAGAAACTGAGTACATCAAGATCAGACACACACACACACAACAAGGAATATTGTTTTAAGTTCCTGAACTTTGATGATCAAAGTAGATTTCATTCCAGATAAGCCAGCAAAAAGGTTTTCAAGGCATGAGGCCCAAAGAGCTGTAATAAAAATATCTGTGGCTGACCAGAGAGAGCCTGCACTTTTCTTTTCAGCTGTCTGGAAGAGAGCGCTCACATGACAGACTGCCTATCCCACAGGAAACAAGGAACCCCAGAGGGAGAAAAGAAAAGTGTAAAAAGAGCAAGAGAAAAGGAGTGAGGGGAGATGAGGAGGAGAGGCAGAATCAGGGGAGGAAAGTGCAGCTGCCACCGCGCAAGACGAATGGCTGCAATGGATAACAGAGAGCGAGCAAAATACGAGGGAGAAGGGAGCAAGGGACAGGGTAAGGGAACCTGAAAAGGGAAGGTACAGGGAAGATGTGGAATCTCAAAAAGAATGGCAGACTCAGGGAAGGAAAACAGAGGTGAAGAAGCAGGTTAGGAGATCGGGGCAGGAGAAAGGTCTGAGAACGTAGGGGGAGGGGAGGGAAGAGGGAAGGAAAGATAGGTAGCGGCAGATGGAGATGAATGGAATTCAGCTGGAAGCTTGTAAAATGGGCAAGACGCCCCCCCCCCCGTCCTTGCTCCCAAAGCCACTAGAACTGTAAGTCACTTCAAGCAGGGTCACAGGTCACAGCATTTCCGCATTCCAGGTCCTCTGGCTATTCACAGACATGCCGGCGGGCCTGCCTCTCCACTAAACCTTCCCTCTTCCTTCCTTCTGGCGAGGTCTGAGGTTCGTCACACAGAAAGGTCACCTTTTAGAGTACTTTTGTGAACACGCTCAACCTGGACAGGCTTGTTCTTCTTCATTACTTTGATGCAGAGACGGCTGGGGTGGGGTGCGGGAGCCAACATTTCTGTACAGATCCCAGTTATGCACACACAGCCCTCGGACACGTGCTCTCACACGAACAACTCAAACACTTGTCAGTACGCCTGTCATCCCATGAGAGAAAAAAGAACTAGGGTGTGCTTACTTGTTTCGACCGATGTGTCATAAACCTATGTACAAATTGCACAAATGTGACTGAGTGTGCTGTGTATTTCAATTAATTCATCTCTAGGTCATCAAGGTAGTCATGCAAACCTGCACCTCGGTACCACTGAGGAGTGCAGGCCTCTCTCCAAACAAGCTGACACCTCTCTGGGCATATCTGCTGTTTGCACAAGTACAAAAATTAGCCCAGGCTAAATAAAGGCCAAGCAAATACAATCCCCACTAAAATATCATATTTACCTCTTTGGTGCTGCAAGTCTACAAACGCACCAGTGGCAGGCGGATCGACACAATTTTCACTGAAAATTCAGATTTGCACTTTGTTAGTAAATGGCGATAACGGCCTTTTAACTGAAGGGGTGAGCAGCAGTGCTCCTGGCCACTGATGTCTGTAGGTGTGTGCGTGAGAGAGAGAGTGCGACAGCCAGGCTTTGATCAGGACCCCAGTGAACAAACAGCCTATTGTTTCCCTGCCTGGCTGGCTGGCTGCAATGCGAATGATATCAGCTCTCCCAGCCTGCCCCCGCTGTGCACCACAGTGCTGTTTACAGCCAGGTGCCCCCCTCCCCACCCCCCCACGACACACAGCACCCCTAGGGCTCAAGGTGCGACTCCAGAACGCGTCACAGAAGCCTCCTACCTTCATTCACGCCACTTCCTCTCTCACTGCGATCTCTAAGCCCTTGGTGTGTTTCTCCAGCTGCCAAGGCTGGCCTCTCATACTGTTACTGCCGAGCTGCTTAAATCAAGAGAAACTTTTTTTTAAAGCTCAACACATGGTACACAAATGAAGAAAACCGCGAAACACATATTACAATTGCCACTAAATTTATTTAGATCCCTCAGATTTGTTGATAGCGGGGCTTCTGCACCTCTTAAGCTGGTCCTTCACTCTAACTGTACACTAATGTAAAAGAACATAGTGAGCTCTGTGCTGTGGTTTAATCATAGCTCCCCAGTTTCATATTTTAAAGAATGGTTTGTATAGATATTGATTCTTGATTCTTGTCTTTCATTTTAATTTAACATGATGCACAAATCAGTGTTTTTTTTTTACCAAGTCCAGGTAAAAAAGTATGATTTACTTTTCTTAATGTGCTGCTATAAGATGGAAAAGTACACGATTTAAGGAATCAACCTCTTTGTTTTAATGAAATGGCAATGATGACAATGCTGTCTACACAGAACTTCAAATATGATCTCAAACTGCAGTTTCTGATGTGTTATCAAAGGCCTGAACTGAAGCTGTATTTTAGAGATTCACAGATTGTGTATTTTTTCCCCTCCTGACCTCCACTGATTCAGCAGAACGGCCGTGTTGTCCTTTGTTCTGCTCCGCTCTACCCAACAGGGGTGTGGGCTGTGGTCAATAATAAATGCAGATCACTGCACCACCTCCCAGTTTTAATTACAGCACATTCAGCAACTTCCCAGCAGGCAAAATAGGAAGAAAACTAAAGGAAAGTTCAGGCTGTATCAGCACTCTGCTTGTATAAACACACTCTGCACACATTCCTGCAGTGGCCGAGATTAGCTCAGGCTGTAATAAAGATCTTTACACAGTCTGTACAGTGTGTTCATGTACAGACTGCAGCCCTGTTTCACATCAGGGTTCTCGCGTTGGGCCCTGACTTGGCATCTCATCAGAAATTTCATTCTTTTGGTTCACTGGTGCATTTTGCCCTTTTTAATGCGTTTTCTTTCAAAGGTAAGGGGCCCAACTTCAAAATCCCATATTTAAGGCCCCTGCCCCATTCCCAAAAGCAGCACCAGTCTAAATTCAAGGGAGCATCCACATACTTTGGCCTGCTGTCTGTGTGGAGTTTGCATGTGTACCCCTCGGGGGGGGGGGGTTTGCCAGGTTCGTCCTAACTAAATCCAAATGTCATCTGGACATTATTTGATTGTCTGCTCTATACTGTCCTTTTCCAGAAGGGGTTTCAAGGGGTTTTCAATACTTAGAAAGGTCCATTCCCAGTACAAGCAGTACTGACTGTAGAACTAGAGAAATAGACATAAATGAGCTTGACAACTGAATGGGCTCCTCTCATTTGTGGGCTTTTTAACGTCCCGGTGCATCCATTAAACAGGTCCCTCTTATCCTGTTTGTTCCAGGAGTTTTACTATGGTGCAATTTTCCAAACCCCACGGTACTAAAGTATACTTTTCCAATTTGTTCAATATTACCAAAGGATTTATAGTTTTTTTTTTTTAAAACCTTAGAGACGGGACAGATATTTTTAGTAGCAGACTATGGGCGTCCAGGCTGCACCCACACCATATTTATCACCACTTCAAGATTCATACACCTCTTTAAAAAAAAAAATCACCCCCTTGTTTCAACACAAAACCCCCCCAAAAAAAATCCAGATGCCTGAGGGGTGAGCTAAATTTGCATCGATCCCTACACTTAAAAGCTTTTGGCTTCTTGGGAAAAGTACAATCGGGGAAAAAAAAAATGGAGTGGAGGTTTACATTTCACGAGTGAGGCCCCTTGTAGGAAGCGATCGGGAACCGCTGATAGCATCAGACAGCTGTACAGAGCCCCGCGTGAAGGGCCAAGTGTCCCTGCTCCTCCGGCGAGCACCTCTGCGGGGCTCCCTCCAGGTAAACACAAGCCCGTGCGGGCTGCCAGCGGAGCCACAGGGCTGCCTTTGTTCGTGTGGCGGATCTGGGCTGGTGGCGGCAGCAGGGCAGGGTGCAGTAGGACCCGGCGGCTGGAGGCCCTCCCAGCTCTGCCTGCTCCTGCCTGTCGGAGGCTGAGAACAGGGCAGCCGCCTGGAGCCCTGCCAGCGCAGGACTGGGAGAGAGATCGGGTTACACTGCACGGCACGCCAGGAGAGCGTCTGATCCCCGGCGCACTGCGCACGAACAATACTGCACCAGGTAGCACACAAAGGTGTAGCACGCTGTCCCACTGCCTGCCCCGGCGACACCCTGCAGAGCAGCACAGGGCGGCAAAGCACGGCTAGGCCACTCGAAATGAGAGGAATCCACAGGAAGTAGAGTAAATGCAACCCAGTACAACATGGCTTTCCCTGCACTGCAGCATCGCCAGTAAGGACTGCACACCACAAAACTGGATTGTTTCGACTTTCAACGTGGTAGAAAATAAAAGGCGCATGCCTGTTGTACTGAAGGAAGGTGTTCCTTATTGCTGGGGCCCTTATCCAGCACGTGCATGTCTGTCCTCAGGAAGGGCAATAGCACAGGCAAGAGAACGCACCTGCACTCTGAGGACGGTTGCCGGACAGGCGGACTGTCTGTTTTACATTGATCAGTTTCGTCAACACGGGACCCCAGCAAAAGCAAAGCACGGTGGAAGGACAGTATGATTCCGACGCATCTGGATACAGCATGAAGAACTAAGAAATGGGGAACAGATACAGTCTTATAGCAAATAATTAAGGCAGATACAGGGACATGGCTTGCTGTCCAGTTGTATAAAATATCTTAAAGTTTAATTTCTTCTTAGTTATTCCCTGAAAGGTAACTCCAGTTTAAGGGTGTTGCACAAAGCACTCAAAATACATCCAGCTAAAACCTCATTCCATATTCTATTAAAGATATGTACCTGTTGCGCTATGGGTCAAAACAGGCCCCAGCTCCCCACTGTGGGGACTAAATCACAGTGCGAAGTCCCATGCACCTCAGCTGACTGTCTGTGTGTTCCAGGTATGGGAAGATCGTCTCCACTAAAGCCATCCTAGACAAGACCACCAACAAGTGCAAAGGTAAGAGACTGCTGCGGTGTGTGCCTGCTGCCTGATTCTGTCCTGACTGGCTGCTGTGGAGCAGGACAGATGGGGAAACGTACAAATCCTGGACATTCATTGTAGGGGAAGAAAACAGCTGAGAAGCTTAAGACTAAGACGTGACTGAGTTCTAAATTAATTGGACTTGTTAATTTGACCCTCTTTGGGTGTAGGGTGGGATTACACACAGCGACCCGTGTGGGCACTCGTGCACACTTGCAGGCACACGGCGCTGTCAGTGGGGGGGGGGGGTGCACCTCTCCTCTGATCGGCTTGAGGGTGGGCGGGGCAGAAGGGTTTGCCTGCACTTCCTCGTTCGCAAGAGCGTGCAGTCGTGCGGGGTCGGACCTGCGAGCCGAGACTTTAAAAACACCCTGACTGTTCCAGAACAAAACTTACTGGCCACCCTACATTAAAAAAGAAAAGAACTCTTCCCCAGTACACGAGGAAGAAAAGTACAGAGTGGACCGGTGAGCAGGAAGTCCGCACGGAGCTGATGGCCTGGGGTTTGCCTTGCAGGGTATGGCTTTGTGGATTTCGACAGTCCGGCCGCAGCACAGAAAGCGGTGACCGCGCTGAAGGCCAGTGGAGTGCAGGCTCAGATGGCCAAGGTAAGCACCTCCTCTTCCCTGTACCGTTATCCGCAGTTCTGAAACGAGCCCACGAGGCGAGAGCCTCCCTTGGGGGGAAAGCCTGAGTAAAGCCGTGCTCGGCTCCCGGGCTCTTCTTCGCTAATGCGACATTAAATGGAGTTAAGTGAATTAAAGCTCGTTTGCACATCTCAGCAGTCTTGTCTTCCCAGCAGGAAAATAGGCAGCGCCTGTAATAACACTTGAAGAAGAATCATGGTTAAAGAGCAGATCACTCTCCCAAGAGCTGAAAATCTGTGATTTAGGTACCCAATATGGCAAAGTTCTCATTTACCTCGGGGAATACTCATGCCTGCAGCTGCAGTTCTTCTGGAGTTGGGTTCGCTGACACAGGAAGGGGGCTCAGTTCCTTCCCTCTATGATTCCGATTGGTCAGATGGATTGCCAGGCAGCTTGCCCACTGGGGGGGGTGTGGGACAGGGACAGGGGTCATAAATGTGTTGGGGGGGAGAAGCTCTTTTCCAAGCCTCCTCAGGGGTCAGCTATGTGTTGACATGTCGTAAAACTGTGGTGGTTTCAAAGAGCAGGTCTTAAAAGTGTCCTGCAGCTCAAGAGAACAAAGGCACTCTGTCTCGGGGGTCTTTGCTCGGCTGTATCCCATTCATTTTTGGGCCTCCTTTGAAATGTTTTTTGAACTTAGCCATTCATAGTTAAAAAGACTACAGTGCTCGTTCCACAGCATCAAAATCCACACTACTGAATGGATAAGCCTGTCTCAGGTTCGATGTGCATTTAACACACATTTCAACCCTGTACCGCACTCTCCATCTTTGAGCTTCATTGCTTTATTAGTCCAGTTATTTCGATATGAGGTTAAATCATCCATTTTTTTGCTGCTAATGGGAAAAGTACCTGGAAAATCTGCAAGACCCCAACCCTGGAGGACCAGAGTTACCCACTGCAGATGTGTATAAGGCAGCCCAGGTATCAGACTGCAGGAACACTTGCCTATTAGGGTATCTTGTTTCTGAAAAAAGAAAAGAAATACACCGGTTTTGGCATGAGAGTTTCTTCCAGATGAAGGTGTTAAGATGCTGGAAAGTTGTGACAAGGTGGAGATGAGAGGGAGAGAGAGACGCGTTTGCAGCAGAGATTCTCTCTCTCGCTGCGTGCCTCCCATTAACTGGGCCACGGAGTCTCCAACCAGCCTTTTGAGCGGGTGTCTGAGCACAAAAGGGATTCCTGTAGACCCATTAAACCGATCCCTCTCCACCATTCAGAGGTCAGGGGAGCACGTGCCCCGCCGCCTGCTGCACAAGAGCCCCGTACAATGAGCTCGGTCCCGAAAGCTAATTCATCGACAATTGCATGACGTGCATTCAGCTGCATCCCCCCCCCCCCTTCTCCCCCCCTGCTACAGAGGCGAGCAACAGGAAGAGCCAGGCACTGGCTCACAATCGCCAAACACACACTGCTGCTAAACAAAATGACAGGACAGCACATCCCGTACAGAAGCAAATACACAAGGAGTGGGAGCTGACGGCTTAGATAAGGGAAAGAGGGGCTTCTAACACAAATCAAGACTGGAGAAGTCAGTCAACGTGCCGTCAAAGTTGCGCCTTGGCAACATTTAGCTGCATTTCCTTCTGTAGGAACAGTTTCTGTAAAGGCACACAACTCAGTGCATTCTAAGGCCATCTCGGTCTCCGCCCAGCTGGTGCAGATGGGACGTCACGCCTGAAGATTAACAGTAACTTGAGTCGTCACTGAGAAGGAACAGAGGCACAGTCGCGCCAGAGCACATTAGTCATACGCACCCCAAGGCTTTTATAGATTACTTCATAAAAGATCAGTGATAGCAGACCAACCTGGCTCCACTAAACTTGAAGAATTGCCTACCTCCAAACCCATCCACAACCCAGTTCTTATCATTCTTCACCTAAAATGTCTAGACGTGACGATGTTTAGTTCTCAGGCTACTCTCACCCAACAGCAACGATTTGTTTCACTTTAAAAAAAAAAACTCCCCTTAAGTAAACAAGTTGAAACAGACCCTTAGGTTTTGGAATGTCATTAATAAATGACGCAGGCTTGGGTTGAGTGTCGTTTTATAAGTTGTTTTCAAAAAGCGTTGCTGCCGCGTTGTTAGCTGAAAGACATTTCAGATCTTCAGACCGTCCTGAGAACATGAGCTCAAGAATTTCATTCTTTGCTCGGCTGCTTCAGTCACACCTGGAAAGCAGTGCACTGGGATATGCAAAGAGCTTAAAATGATAAATTGCAAAGCATGTTTGCATTTTCATGTCACACTCTTTAACACGGATCGGGTGACTAATTTCTTATGCAAATAGAAAAACTAGAAACACTTGCTGGGTGATAATGGTAATGTACCCTACACTCTGTTCATGGGTTTAGAGTTAAAATAAACTTTTCTGCTTCACTGCATGAGTTTCCATGGGCAAAGGGCCTTTTCCATTTGAACTCCTTTAAGCGTACCCACATTAAGAGTGTGCATGTCTACCCTGGTGCATAACGGAGATAACCTTTTTGAATAAGCAGTGCAGTAATGGATTAAAGTTAACATGACCACTGGGGAGTCTCTCAGTATTACAGCACAACCTCCAGGACAGGAGTGCAGCATTTCATCATCTAGGAATAACCCCTCCCTCCATCCCATTCCCACATTATTTCACTACCTCCCAAGTTTTGTAAAAGAACCCTACTTTTAGCCAATATGAGATCTCCTGCTTCCAGAACACCTCCCAAACACATTCAACCAGGGCTGGCAACCCAAAACGAGCTCCTCACGGCTGGACTGGGGCTGGGATAAAGGCAAAGAAAGTTAAACTTATTGCAGAGATAATACTCAAGGGCTATGGTATGTTACACTGAACATCTAAGCATCCAAGGTATGTTAAAAGCATTCTGTTCAGTTTTACAGATTACTTGTGTTGCAGCTACAGCAGAATTAGCTCTCACAACATCTATGGCCCAAATACAGCATGTATGTTCTTAATTTCTTAAATGCACATCCACAAAATGCAATGCATTTAAAAATAAACGGCTTAGTACATTACCATTGAATTTGTTTGTTCCCCATTCAAATTCAATGAATTGTCACTTGATGAGTGGGGTCACAAATCAAAACCCCTGTTTAACATGGTGGAACTCTCAAAAATTAAGACTTAAGAAAGCTAATGCATCACCACCCTATATTAATTTTAATGACTCATCTCACTGCTGGTTTGTTTTTCACCTATTTTGAAACAATCATAAAAAACATTTGAAAACAAAGCTCAGAGTGACAAGACTTCGCCTCCCCCTGGCTTTCCAGGAGTTGTGGGAGAAGAGAAGAGAATCTTTAACAATGTCCTCCGGAAAGGAGCCCATCTCGGGTTAGAGCCCCACCTCAGCACACAGGCGTCTGCACAAACAGCACCTGGCCAGACTGGCTTGACGAGTGCTGTGTGGCACTTCCTGCACGCAAGGCTGAGCCCAGCTGGCCGCACGCCCTCCTGCTGCGGGCAAAGGGCAGGGCGGACCTTTTATACCCCGAAATGGTTCTGTCGTGGGCATACGTGCTGAGAGGCATGGCCTGCAAGAAAGCAGTCCCCGGTCCGATGGGACCCCCTCCCCCAGTTTCGAATTTTATGTTGTTCACGGGATTCAAAAGTGACTGTCAATCCAAATCGCGTTAACGTCGAACTCGATGTCTGACCCGTCCTCTTTAACAGCCTTGCCACGCCTCAGTCAGCTTCTTTTGTCATCTGGCGGATCGATTTAACGGCTGGATTAGAGAATTAAGGAGAGGCCGCGGTCTCCTTTGCTTGGCTTGGAATCGGGCGCTCCAAACTGGGCTGCTGTATAGGAGACCAGGGAACTCTCTCCCGCTGCTCCTTGGTGACCGTGCACTTTCAGGCAGCGTGGGGCTGACTGAGCAGAAATACCCGTCCCCCTACGCCCACCCATCGCTCCGTTAGCGAGGTGTTCGACTGCCCTCCTCCTACTGCCCATAGACTGCAAGACTAAACCCACAGAACTGGCCCACAGCACCAGGGGCCACTGTTTCAAACTCCTGAGATCGAGGCACGTTCTGATTTTGCAAACTGGCACCAGGTATGAAAAAAAGTATTAGACTTATATTCTTAATGAAGCAATCTTTCATTTAAGTAGAATAGGCTTGAATTTGGCAAATGTAAAGTATTAGAAAGTACTAAAAAAAACTGCTGCATTAATTACTAAATAGACTAAAAGGAGCCACTTTGTCTTCTGTAGCTGGACAAAGACGTTCTCTCTGTCCTGACCTCTCGTTCACCCCTATCGTTATGTAACCCCTGCTGGGTCAACACCTTCTGGTCCCGGAGTCCAGACTAAAGCTGGTCATGTTCTGTGACGGAAGAGCCACACAGAGGGTACAACAGCACTGTTCTCTTTAAAACACAAGGTGCCAAGGTTTAAGAGCACCAACTGGTTTTGAGGCATTCAAAAAAAAAAACAGCCACAGGCAGAGATACTATGAAATGATGTTGAGGAAAACACTGCAGAAAAAGAGTTTATCCATAACTGTGTTGCATTTCAGTGAGTACAAGAGAAAATAAAAAAATACATATGGCTACAGCCCAGTAGCTGCAATGGCACAGCACACAGACTCCCTCTTCAGGGGATAGTCTGAGTGTTTCAGTGAAGGAAACGTGTTGCTTTCTCACTCTCAGTGCCCCGAGCGTCTGCCCTGCTGGAGGTGTGGGCGCTGCTCATGGTGTGGGACACACAGAGATCACAACCCTTCATGCCCTCCCCATCACAGTGGGGGCCTGTGCTCCCCTTACCGATGAAACCACCAGCAAGCAGGCCAACCTCCTTCAGGAGAGCGCCCTGCCTGTCCGACAGCAGGTTACCTAATCAGATGCACTCTAGCGCCACGTATTTCTAGATACTGTCTTTTGTAACTGCAGAACTGTTTCCTCCAAGGGGGTAAAAGCCGCATCAGCATTCTTCTTTGATCCAATCCAAAATACATCCACCTGAAAGGACCTAGAAGGAATCTGAAGGATTGAGTCCACTTTTAGCAGTTATTTCTGATCATTAGACGTAGGGGCTGAGGTTACCCAAAACCAGATATGGCAAATGCTATTTTTAAAAGGTTTAGAAATGGAATGTATCGATAAAGTAATATAGTAGAACAAATGTGATGATAAGCACATAAATAGATTTGCATGTTATGAACAAATCCCTAATTCTGACCACAGCCCTAATCCTGGAATATTTACAGAGGACGGCTTGTTCCAGCCCTAATCTTTTTTTTCTATTTTAGATTTGTTTGTATGACAGTTAATAACATGTTCTTCACTTATAAAAGATTAAAATGTTACAGATTTCGAAATGCATTTTTTGTTCCTCCTGAAAACCCAGACACTGTTGGGTCAACACTGCAGTGAAAGAGTGACTTTGGTTAATTTTTAATTCTAGCTTTTTAAACACAAGGTTTTGATAAATCAGTGTGTTTCTTGGCAGCATAAGGAATCTCCAGATTTTAAGGAGATGTGTTACACCTGGAGTACATCAAGCACCTGTCTCCGGTCATCACAGGAGTACTCGGTAGAACGAGTTACACATTCCACATGGGTGCCCTCCGGCTACACTTCACTCGATTACGACAAAGAGGGGGGGATTCAACGCTTATGTTCTAGACATAAAAAACAAACCAAGACAAATCAAGGCGCTCCATGGTTTCTGCCGAAAATTGAAGGGTCAGATACCCGCAGTGCTTCCTCAACCCACAATGAGAATCTGGGAGCCGAAAGCGTCTCTTCCCAGACTCTGCGACACACAACACCCATGTTCTGCCAGGCGTACAATGGGCTTTTTCTTCCTTGCGCACTGCGTGCTTGTGAAACCAAGTTCTGGAAAGGGAAGAAGGGGACCCCCCTGGGGAAAGAGTTCAACTGAAGTACAGCCAGACAGCTCCGTCCTACATCCCCCCCCCCAAACTCTTTCTCCCTCTCTCCTCTGTTCATTTCCTCTGCCACCCCCCCGCCCCTCCATCTCCCTCCTCCAGCAGTCTCTCTTCTCTCCCTCTCTCCCGGCCCGTCCGACGCTCCAGCTCCAAAGCCGCCTCCTCCTCTTGTGCTGCACTCTCCCTTTGTGCCTGGCCTCTCCCCCCCCTCTCTCCTTCCACTCCCCCAGTCCGTGCTTCTCCAGCTCTGCTCCGTTCCTCACGGCACTCACTTCCTCCCGCTCTCGCTCTCTCTCCTCTCCTCTCTCTCCCACTGTCGATCCAGCTTAGCGCCTGGTTTCCTGTCTGTTTCCAGGAAATTACACAAGGATCCATTTTTTTCTGTTCTGAATAGGCACATGCTTGCATGAGGGGTTCTTTTTTTTCCTCTGTGTTTGAGTGTGTGCGCATGTACACGCCTTTTTCCTCTCTCGGTCAGCTGCTCCAGAAGGATTTTTTTCTGATTTCTTAGAAAACAACCTTCATGGAACCTTTCTGAGCACAAATCGTCAGTTTCTCCTTATACTTGCCAAACCCTTATTGGAGAAAAGTCTTTGAAAAAAGTATCTGCTCTGGTACTGTAATCCAAACAACCCCTCCATGTCTGGATACCTGAACCATCTCTTTTGGAAACATAATTTTGCTCCCCTGCTCACAAGACCTACAAGATCTATAAAGACTCGAGCAAGGTGTTAGAAATCAGTTCCTGCCTCTCCCCTGTAAGTGAAGGTTCTTTGAGCTACCCTGCTTACCTCCAGCGCTGCCCACACCTCTCAGCAGTGTCTCAAGCTCTCTCAGCTGCCCTGCTCACCTCCAGCACTGCCCACACCTCTCAGCAGTGTCTCAGGCCTCTTGAGCTGCCCTGCTCACCTCCAGCGCTGCCCACACCTCTCAGCAGTGTCTCAGG